ATAACAATAGTCGGCCTGCATGGCTGAGTACACGGCCTCCCCCACGTGTCAGCATTACGAAGTACTTAAACGTTTTTTTTTTAGCCTGCGACCTATGAGGATAAACGTGGCTGCAATGAAAATAAATAGAAAGCAAAAGAATTTGTCATCAAAAATTTGTACAAAGCCCTTTGAAACTTTTTTTTCCCCAGTGACCTCCGATATTGCAACACATAGCAGGATGTAATGCAGATGTGCATGGGTAGCAATGTGTGTGAGCATGCATGGCATCCCCCTTCAATTTTCTACCCTAAATATCCCCCTAACTGGGCAGTGTGTTTCATCTCAGAAATTTTGCTTGGGAAATATTCTGATATGCCTTTCCCCGTTCCCCCCTGGAGTGAATCCGTTTGTCCAACTCGTCGCGAATGATGAATGGAAACATACAACAACAACAAGATTGTTATTTATATTGCGCCCTTCATTCAGGGTAGCGTCCCAGAGCGCTTAACATAGAGTTCTTTCAGTTGTCATAACTGAGTCAAACCCTCTCAGCTAAGGGCACCTTACACAGTCTCCAAAAGGCTTATTATATTGAACCATCCATGCTGTGGTATTAGCCTGTGATTTTGAGCTGATGGGAAAAATCTGACTTGGTGGGACAGTTCAGAGTCTTTCCTGCTGTTCATGCTATTTGTAAATTTTTTTAAAAAACGGGGTGGGAAAGAGAGCTTTTAATAATAATCCTTGATAGAATTTTACTGTCAAACATAAAAGGGCTAAAGGGTTAAATTATGAGGATAGGTTGCATAAATGTCTTACACCTTTGAGTTTAGAAGGTTGTTCGGTGATCTTGTTGAAGTCTTTTAAAATAAAGGGATTCGATAAGGTAGCGACAGAGAAACCTCTGGTGGCGGAATCCAGAACAAGGGGGCATCATCTTAAAATTAGGAGTGAAATTAGGAGGCAGTTTTTCACCCAAAGCATAGTGGAAATCTGGAACTCTCTCCCGCAAAAGGCTGTGGATGCTGGATCCGTTCACATCTTCAAGACTGAGGTGGATAGATATTTGTTAGGTCATGGTATTGAGGGATAGTAATAATTCTTGCATTTGATATAACGCTTTATTAAGTCTTCGAGACGTCTAAAAGCGCTTCAAAGAAATACTGTAATGTGAATTGACTGTATATTTTGTGGGCGAAACACGGCAGCCAATTGCGCACAGCAGCGTCCCACAAACAGTCGTGGATTGAGGTGACCAATTTATTATTAGTTTTTTGAAGGAATTATTACCCCTGGGGAAAGGGATCCACCAATTGACTAACAACTGAGTTCGTATTCACTGCTCGGTAAACAGAGGCGTGTGCAGTAAGGAAACTTGCCCAACATTTCGCCCTGGCCGGGGATTGAACTCAGGTCTCTCGCTTGCGAGGCGAGTGCTCTAACCACTGAGCTACAGGACTCCACTCTACATGGATATGGGGCAAAGGCGGGTAATTGGACTTGGTGGGAACAGACTCGAGGGACTGACTGGCCTACTTCTGTTTCTATGTAGTGACTGTATTTGTCGAGGAACAGCATGCACTGTGAGTGCTGAGGGACGCAAGTACAGAACTAAGCAGAATAATGTGAAGTTGCAGATTAGAAGAAACCAGAATTTCCACTGGATGTATGGAAGAATACTATAGTCGGTGCCTTTTTACTCTTTGAGCGGAAAAAAAAGTATGGGTACAAAGCGGATTGATGCAAGGTTAAGAATAGAGAAGGATATCAAATGTCATCGTGCTTCTGATCTGGTGAGACCGTGGAAATTTCACGCTATTGGAAGGGCAGAGGTGACTGTGGGTTGATTTTATACTCTGGAGCCTTTGCTCGCTAACCTTTGAAGAATATTTGCAGAACCTTCCCTCAGGAAATTGAATGAGTTGGGCATTATCCATCAAAAAATATACATGCCTTGTGAAAGGGACACTATCTGAAAACGTGCGGAAGAGCAAAGAAGAATTAACCCTTTGCCACCAAACTACAGTAAACCTCAAACAATAATAATAATCCTTCCATTTGATACAGCGCCTTATCACGTCTTGAAGATGTCTCAAAGCACTTCACAGGATATACTGCAAAGTGAATTGACTGTATATTTTGTGGGCGAAACACAGCAGCCAATTGCGCACAGCAGCGTCCCACAAACAGTCGTGGATTGAATGACCGAGTGAATTGCATAAGTCGTATCAGTTGGGACCATACATTTAATCTGATTTATTCAAAGTCTGAGCCCTGTGAAACTTATAAATAATAGGAAATTCAACGGGACTTGGGCAAACTTGGGAGACAGTGGAAGCAGAAAATGTTGTTTGTTTCGAGAACAAATTAGATAGATTTCTGCTAGAAAATAATATCTCGGGATACAGATATTTAGGGACATGACACGTCCAGTGACTGCCAGGATGGTGGAAGGCAAACTAGATGGAACTTGGTCTTTTTTTCTTAGATATGTTCTTAGATATGACTTGCCAACTATAACGTTATACAGATCAGACTTGTGCGTGTCTTTTAATGTATTTCTTATGCATATTGAGGACCAAAAGCAAGGATAATTTTACTTTGAAACTTTTTTAACGAAAAATAAGAGAACATGTGGATAAGTTGTAATAAAATTAATAATCCTTGCGTTTGATATAGCGCTTTTCACGTCTTCTAGACGTCTCAAATTGCCTCACAGAATATTGTAAGTTGTAAAGTAAATTGACTGTATATTTATGGGCAGAGTGCGGCAGCCAGTTGCGCACAGCAGTGTCCCACAAACAGTCGTGGATTGAAGTGACCAATTTATTGTTTTTTTTTGTTTCTTCATGGATTATTATCGAATGTGTGGAGTAAGGAAACTTGCCCAAGGTTCCGTCCTGCCGGGAATCGAACCCGGCATGGCAAACTTAAGAAGTTACTCAACTTCTTTTGAAATTAAGCTGCCATTGTTTCAGTGGAAGGGGCAGAGGATGAGCTAGAGGCAATGGTTCGAGGAGATGAGCCGGAGTCTTAAAAGCCGGTACAATGCAATACGAAATTACATTTGTATAGCACCTTTCACATCTGGGCGATGTCCTAGAGCACTGTACAGTCAGGGATTTGGACCTGGACAGGGTGGGGTTGGGAATAGGGGGGGGTGGGGGTTGGAGGGCAGGAGGGTGGCTGAAGCCATGGTTGAAGAGGAGGGTCTTGAAGGAGGCAAGGGAGGGAGCAAGGTGAAGGGAATGTGGGATGGAGTTCCAAAGGATGTGGACGATATCTGGTTCAGGCGTTCTTAGATCCTCGGGAACAAGTTGATAATCCTTGCATCTGATGCAGCACCTTATCACATCGCGAGACTGCTTGGGATCTTTACAGGATTCCACTGTGAAGTGTAGTG